GGCTGATGCCATGGCACTCTAGCCCAGGCAACACAGTGAAACTCTTGTCTCAAAAAAACAAAAAAAAAAAAGAAGCACCCCAGGTGAAAATCTGAACATGGATTTCCTATCAAGTTTGTTTTGAACTTTACTGTGTATGAATCACTGAATCTTTTTAAAATGAAGACTCTGATATTAACAGGACTGGGATGAAGTCTGATGTTCTGGTTTTCTAGCAAGTTTCTAGAACAATATATATTTTGTAAATACACGTTAAAAAAACTAATACACATAAAACACAACATAATTTTGGGGAGTTGGGGAAAGAGATGGAAATTGAGTATGAACTAGGGAATATATAAACAAATGTAGACAGGAAACTTACATGAACCAATGATAAAAAGGCCATAAACTGAGCCCTTTGACCTAAGGATCCCTATTCCTCTCCCCAACAACAACAAAAAAAAGTAATAAAGAAAAGTGGAAATAAACAAATAAGAAACTCACCCAGGACTTGGTGATTTTCAGCTGCTCCTGGGAAATAAACAGCCACTCGAGGACTTGTTCTGTCCAGTGACTCTTCTGCCTCTGCTGGGTTGCTCCAGGGAGAGGTCTATGGTCAGGGGTCCCTTGGCCAAGCACGGACTCCTGCACTTGGAGCTCTCTGATCCTATCACACGAACGGTCTTGTTCCTGGAGAGGTGGGACCTGTGGACTCAAGAGCAAACTCACTCTAGTGAGCATGTTTCCTCTGGGCCTCAACCTCGGTCTCTTAGGCCGGTGAATCACACTTAAATGGAGGCTGGGCTGGGTGTTCCGCAAACCGTGCTCAGTGCTGCTGCTGTGGGAAGAAATGCGCATGAGGAACCTGGCACAGTGGAGACAGTTCCACCCACAGATTCTGCAGGGGCCCCCAGGACCCCTGAAAGTGCAATGACCACACCTGAGATCCACTCAATTTTTAAACAATTTCTGGGCAGCTTCTTAAATGAGAACATGATGCTAAATGCTAAGGAGTAACAACTCACAGTTTTAAGTAGGTATGCGTCCGTATGAGATTTTGAATGAAACAGCATTTCTTCTCCTCTTGCCATTTAGATGTCTGTGAACAATTCACTTCACCTCTCTCACTGAGTCTTACCTTTTGTTGTTAAAACCCTGAGAGCAGGATGAGGTCAGGGTTGCAGGATTGTTTTTTAATCTCCCCAAAACTCCCGATGAAAACAAAAAAGACCTAACAGAACGGTAAAAGACCAAACCATGATATCTACACAAACAAAAACAAAACAGACTAAGTGACAGGGTCACAGCACATGGGCAGATGTGACCCAACTACAGGAGCAGCAGGGGCGGCTCAGGGCGGTGCCAGCAGAGGGAGTGGTGGGAAGTGAGGGCAGATCCTGACAAGCCCCGGCGCTGCAGCATCTCCCACGTCACTGACAAATGTCTGTCCCCAACGGAAGAGTGCCCCCCCCACCATGGGATCTGAGCAAGCAGGTCTTACAACAGGTAACACTGAATTCCTCTCAGGTTCAGAGCTGCAGGTGACCATAAAAACAAATTCCTAAAGTCAATAAGTGACCTAACAGTACTATGGCCATCTAAAGCCACGAAAATATGAGAAATAATGGGCAAATAGTCCCTTCCAGAAATACAGACCCTCACTTTCAGGGAAAGCTGCTAGAAAAATACACCATGTTACTCAGCACAAGAAAAGAGAAAAAATACTCAGGCAGTGAGAGGGGAGAGAAAGGGGGGCTCACAGTGAGACGGACAGGAGAGAGAAGGCCCAGACAGAGAGAAGGAAGGAGAGAAAGACTATTAGTAAGAGGGAGGGGAGAGAGAAGGTTTAGACAGTAAGTGGAAGGATCTAGAGGAAGCCTATTCCAGCAATCATTTAACAACAAAATAAAACATGTAAACGTGAGAGAAACACATTAGAAAACAAGGTATGTTGAACCCCAGGAATCACCAGATGAGAGGCAGAAAAATAGGCTTCCTGACAAGACTTAGTACCAAGAGTCAAGTCATGTTTTAGGCCCTTCATGACCACAGAGGTAGGAATCCCAAAGAGTAAAGCAAGAGAAAGATATCCTGGGTCATCACAGCCCTCAAACAAGGACTTCTTGCCCCAGACAGAATGGCTTCTTCATAGGCCAGGAAACCCATCTTACTTAAACTGGAAAAAAAAACAAAGAAAACAAAAAAACACATTATTATTGTAGGGGGAAAGGAACCAAATGAGGCTCTGACAGACAATGAAAACAAATCCCAAATATCTGGTGCCTCACATGTGCACACACACACAAACTGTAACCTAACATTTCAAAATGAACTAAAAGAAATCGGGAAAACAAAACTTTTAAAGGACAGATACATCAAAAATAAAAGAGCCT